CTGGGCGGAAATGTAGCTGCATGGGGGCTGAGACGAGGATGTCCAGCGGGATGTTGTCGTAGAACGCGGCAATGTCGAGCATCCCGCGGCCGCACTGCATGCCCATTGCGAAGGCCAGCCCCTCGTCCTGCGCCCGCAGGAACGGAAAATCATTTTTGGCAGCCTGGCCCAAGGGAAAGCAGGCCCTCGCCTCCGCGGTGCCCCGAAGCACCTCGGAACACGTTCTCGGGCCCCGTCACGGCTCGGCGCCGGCGCCTTCGCGCCAGCAAGGGGCGCAAGGAAAGCGCTGCCTGGCCGGAGCCTCCTGGGCCCTGTCCTGAGGTTCCCTGCCAGGACATGGCGCCGGCGACTGCCGCGAGGGTGGCATGTGGGTGGGCAAAACCGCCGCCGGGCGGCTGCTGCCCGCCCTGCGGGCGCCGCCCCACGCGGAGAGCGTTCGGTCACCAGAGAGCTCGAGAACGCGGCGTGCCTGCGAGGGAGCGGGCAGTGCCACAGCGCGCCAGGCCGTCGCTCGTGCTTTGGCCCGGCTTGGCCCTGCTCCCCGCGTCTCCTGCGGGGCGACCAGAACGGCAGACCCAAGACTAGCACCGATAATACTTCCGCCTCCGAAAATGCAAGCCGGCCCGCCAGGAACCGCTTGCCCGCGAAGCAGGCACAGAGGCGCGTGAGCGGGAGCAGAGGAGGTGAGGCGAGCACGCTTGGGCCTGCTGCACATGATTTTCCTGTGCCGGAAACGAGTTTACGCTTCATGAAAATCATTTTTGGCAGCCTGGCCCAAGGGAAAGCAAGCCCTCGCCTCTGCGGTGCCCCGAAGCACCTCGGAACACGTTCTCGGGCCCCGGGGCCCCGCCACGGCTAGGCGCCGGCGCCTTCGCGCCAGCAAGGGGCATAAGGAAAGCGCTGCCTGGCCGGAGCCTCCTGGACCCTGTCCTGAGGTTCCCAATGCACCAGGAGGCGGCGGACCGCGCAGCAGCGCCTGAGGAGAGGACATCGTGATTGTGCTTTCCCTTGCCCCAATGCAAACGATGCGAACTCAGTCCTGCTCGCCGTCGCTGGAGTCAGAATGTTCCACTAGCCACTCAGCGGCCGTGAGAGCCCCTCGGCTCTGGGCGCTAGCATAGCCGAAAGCAGCCACGCCTTTCCATCCACCGCTAAAGAACAATGCTGTCGGCCCTCCTTGTTGGAGGGCTTCGTTTGCGAACCCTCTCCTGAACGCATGCGCGCCCCAAGCAGGCGCGCTACGCAGATGCAGGGCGGCCGCTGCCAGCTTTAGCACAGCGAGAGCGCCGGCGCATTGGATTCCTGAAAAAGGAACAGCACTTGTTTCTCCTAAGGAGAACAGTGTGCAAGCACTGCGCAGGAGCCGACCCTGCTGGTGGCAGATGCAACGCCTCGTCGTCTCGCAGGGTTCATTGTACGACTTCCGGTGAGCAAAACGGATGATGCACGTTTTACGGCCCTCGCCGGTAAAACGAAATGCGACCGCGTGGGCCCCCAGACTTAATACTTCAGAATATCTCAAGCAAAAATGGCGGGCAATTGCCCACGAGGCCGCTAATGTCGGATATTCTGCTTCCGAGCACCACTTACGGATGCGTCTGGTCTCCTCAGCTGTGGCACGGATTTTCTCTCTTCTGAATTCATACTTCGTTATCTTTTCGGCGCCTCTCGACAATCTATGCGTGTCTGTGAGGGCGCCCAGCGGGGCCTGCACCAAGTGCAATACACTGCGCACGTGCGACACGCATCTCTGCAAGGTGTGGCCGTTGCGAAACAAACCAACGAAAGTGTCAAGGATCAGTTCTGTTGGTGGCCACCCAGGCGCCCCGACAGCAGTGGCAGCGTCGCCCCACAGGCGCACTGCGGAAGCATACTGGGAGGCGCTTTTCCTCCAGCTGGCAAATTCCACCCACAAGGTGTGCAAGCTCAGATGGTCGCCGCCGCTGGCTTCGCGACGAGCCCGCTTGATCTCGCCCCGCGGCCTGCCAGTGGGCTCCGCTCCCGGATGGCAGCTGCAATTGGCAGCAGCTGCCATGGCGGCTGCGAGCACTGCAGGCGCAGGAGCGGCCCGCGCCCGCCGCGCCCTCCAAGCACTAGAAAAGCAGCGCGGGCCTTCTCTTCGGCGGGGGCGTCCAATCGCTTCGCAGTGGGCGTCTGGTCGCCAGCGCAGCCAGCGCCTGCGCCGCCCGAGGCGGAGCCCGCCTGCGCAGCGACGCCCGCTGCCAGAGATGCCGGGCGCTGGGGCTTTGTTCGCCCGCCGGGCTTGTGCGCTTGAGCTGCCTGCTCGCGACTGGCGCTGCTCTGGCAGTGCGACAGGAAGGCTTTGACGAAGCTGCAGTTGCAAGCGGCGAATGCCGGCACGAGCTCTGCGAAGTCGCCGGCTCCAATGTCGCTCAGATCCGACATGTGTTTGAAGCCTGATTCTGTCAACGCAGCGATCAAGCTCGCGACGTGGTGCCCTGGCTCTGCCTGCGCCGCGACGCCGCGGGCGACGGCCGCCAGAGGGGACGCTTCCACCTCGGCGCGGACCTCCGCGACCTCATCGCTGGCAGCCGGCGGATGCGAGCACTTAGCGGCGCGGCTTTTGTCGATGAATCTCAAAGCCATGCTGGGCCAGAGCTCCGGAACAGAAGACGCAGAGAATGTGCGCACAAGTAGCTGCGTGGACAACCGATTCTCACGTGATACGACCTCAACACAAGATTACGATGATGTTTTCCCAATTGCCACTCACTGGCTCTGACTCACCAGGGCACGTCGGCTGGGAAGGACCACGGCATTTCTTGAAACCCGTCGGCGGCTAACTTACGCAGCTGCTCTGACTTGGCTGCTGGCCGGGTCGGAGCGTCGGCCAAGTTTAAATGCGATGGCACGTGCCAGAGGTGCAAATAATGACCACGCTGCGCGACTGCAAACCAAAGCTCGCCTATGAGCTCGTTCCAATCAAATTGCCTGGAACAGCCGCGTAAAAGTGCACCCAGCGCGCTTGCGTTATCCACGAAGGCGAGGATTTCAGACTCGCCAGGCAGATAACTCAGCAAAAACTTAAGCGCGCAGAGAGCCGCCATGAGCTCCCAAGTGCCGATCTGATTCTTCCGATGAAGCACCCACTGCCTCGCCTCTGCTGGGACATCAGCAGCAGCCCAAGCCTTTAAACAGGGAGTTTGGATGACCCATGCCATCCGTCCCTGGCCTGTGGCGTCGGTGTAAAGGATGCAACGCTCTTTCTGGCGACGCATCACCGGGACGCTCCTCGATGGCGGTTCCTGTAAGAACCGCAGCCACCAATGCAGACGCAATTTGGTGCGCTGGGACAGCCGGCTCTGGTCGCCTGAGCCGTGGCGGTAAATGGCAGCAAGGTAGACGCGCGCGCCTCGGCCGAAGACGGCGGTCGCACCCCAGCTCAATTTGCCTGCTAATTTTAAAGCCCGCGCAGGCGAGAGCGATCTTCGCCGCAGAGCCTCCCGAATTTCCGCGGCCCATTTTTCCAATCTCTGTGCTTCGAGAGAAAACTGGATCAGCTGGTTGTGATCGTCAAATTCTACGCAGACTCCGAGGATCACGGTCTTAGTGGCCTCCGCGACGGCTTTGCCGGCGTCGAGATCCCAGCCCAGCAGTTCTGACACGACTGCTCTTGCCAGGCGCGCAGAGCCGGCGGGGCCGATTAAGCAGTCACTGCCAATATCGCGCCCCTCCAGGGCCGAATCGCCGGCGAACATATCGTCGACAAAACGCAAATATAACAAGTGAAACAGAGCTGCCAAAATGCCTTGAATGGCGAGACCGAAGCGATCCCAACCGGACACTGAAGCGGAAGAGCCAAATGGCAGGCACAGCAACTGTAACGCCTTACCGTCTGCCACTGCTTCTGGCCAAGCTGTCACTGCTAGCGGCAAGTGGCCGCTGCAAATCGGCAGCGTCTTAAAAGCATTCTGGAAGTCATCTTTCCTCCACCTCATGGCAATGTGTTGCTTGCCTGCTGCTGCGTGGCGCACTGATGCCACCAAAGTGCCCAGTGTGTCTGGACATGTTCTTTCACTATGTACAACCGCACCATTCACCGCAGACGCAGTGAAATCGTCTATGCAGCGAATTTGTGGCATTCCGTCTCTCTCACCCTGCACGATAGGGAAGCGAGCTGTTAAAACACAAGAATTTACTTCTAGGTTACGGAGCGGGCCTTGCCATCTTCGACCTCTTTTGAGCAGGCCGATAAACATTGAGTCCTAACCCTCGTATCGCTGCCCTTTTCCGCGGCGATTTTACCGAGAGTCGCCTCATTCCGCTCGCACGGATGTGCTAAAAGCGACCGCAAAGTCTCGGCTGGTCCCGGAGACCTGGCAGCGGGCGCGCGGATGCCACTAGCGCAGGCGCCCCACCAAAGGGAAGCCATGGCAGAGGTTGCGAAACAAGGTATTATCTGACCATGCTATAGCCTCGAGCATCTCTTTCAGCAGCAGAAGGTTCTTCTCCGGACCCAGCAGTGACTGACAGTGAGCTGGCAAACTTCTGAAGATAGTCTGCCACTGTGGGTCCGTCACTAGTTTCCGACGCTTCCAAAAAGCAAGAGCAGACTGGCGAGCGGTTTGCAGCTCGGCAACCGACATTGAAACCGATCTCGCAAAATGGCCGTTTAAAAATGTTCGCACGCGCGGGCTATCGTCGGCTGCTGGCAAGCCGCTGGCCCAGCGCAAGTGGTCGCTCGGACCCAGGCTATGCAAATCCTCGCGGGCGCTAAATGCAGAGAAAGCTGCCTGGACAGCTTCGAGTGGAGAATTTGCCGATTCACTTGACCTTGAACTGGTACCTGGAAGCGGTGGCGCCTCCGTGTCGTCTGATGCTTCCTCCGAGATATCACTCCCGGCGCCCTCGACTAGTGGTGCTTGGCCCACTCACCACTTGTTTCCCCAACTGTTGTACTGCTGATTGCCAGAGCGGGGGCTGCGAGACCTGCGCTGATAATCGGCGCCCGCCGTGCCTTGGGGCGCTTGGCCGGCGACCGGACAGGCTGGTTGTCAGCCTCTGTGCCGCCGGAGCTCTTCTTACCCCCCTTGCCGCCCTTGTCGGCAACGCCCTTGGCACAGCCTTTGGGCTGACCCTTCGGCCGCTGCCCCTTAGCTGTCACAGCCCGGCCAGCCTCCGTGAAGCTTTTGTTTACTTTGTCTTTGGCGTCAGCCAGGTTTTCACGATCGATCTCGGCGAAGTAAGGCGCCAAATCCACGACGTCTTCCTCCAGGGCCCTGGCCGTGGCCCTCCTCTGGAGAACATCGTACTGATAAGCTGTCCTGACTCCACCGTGCTCCTCGGCGATGCGCACGATGTCGTGGGCGTACGCAAGGAAGTCAGCCATGCTGCATGCCTTGGTCAGGATTACCTTGAATCCCCACTCGTGCAGGTGGCCCATGAACGCGGCAAAGCCAGCGTAGTCGACTTTGTCCATCCACGCCATGTTCCGCTTGGCGGCAGCGCTCTGCTTCACCCGCCCCTCGTAACGGCCGTCCCCCACGACAGCGTCGATCAGAGGAGTCCGGCTCCAAGTTGGGCGGTGGTGATCGCGCAGATCCTCGCCCTCAGCGGACCCGACCCAAGGCCTGCCCTCGTCGTGCGCGATCTTCCCCGCCGCCTCGAACTTCGCGAGGACTTCCTCTGACGGGAGTGCATCCTTGGCGAAATACTGCATGCCCAGCTCGAGTTTCCGGTCCTGCAACTTGAAAACTGAGTCCTTTTCGGCTTCCCTTTCTGCAGCGCCTGCGACTGACATTCTGCAAATTGTTTCACTGCTTCAGCCATGCCGGAAAGCTCTTTGTTGTTGTGGGCCACCTCTGGTGGCACCGATGGCCCTGGCGAGGCTTTCTTCGCGCGCGCCCCCTGCACCTTGAGTGCCGAGACAATCTGCGCTGGCGAGACTTTCCAGCTCTTCCACGGGTCGTCCTGTTCGCTGGCATACGGGGTGGCGTGAACGGGAATGCTCGCCTTGATCATGTCCCGCATGCGAGGGTCTTCGAAGTCGGCTGGCGCGATGCTGCCCCCCGTCTCGGCCAGCAGCCGTGCGACAGACACGCAGTGGAAGAGATCGTGCTTCTTGGCGGGGTCGACGTCGACATCGATGACGAAGTCCACCCACTCACGCACCTGATTGGCACCTGCGCCGTCGAAGGCTCCACTGGCGGCGGTGGCGATCATCGCCGCGACGTCACTCGGAGAGAAAGACATCTTCCCTCGGACGGCGCGTAGAATCAGATTGCTCTGCGTGCTAAGACGCAAATCTGCAAGTCAGACACCTTGTCTGAGGCATCACGGTTACGGTGGACAGCTGAAGGATCCCCCGCCACAGGTGGATACCTGGCCTCTCTTCCGACGAAGCAGAGAGGGAGACTTGCCTCAGGCATGGTGAGAGCAACCAGATTTCAGATTGCAGGCAGCTCCTCCCAAGATGCCTTCAACCAAGACATCCCTTCGCAAAATCAGTTCTGACGCCACCTGCTGTCGCCACCAAAAGACGCGACAGCAACCTGTGAGAGGCTCGGCTAGGTCTGAGCTGTGAGAGGGCAGATTGCTCGAGGCGTGGTCGTCTGAGCCAGTGCAGAACGCACGAGACAAGAGACAACAACCTGCTAATGCGCGGTCTGCACCGCGGGGCAAAACGTAGCCAGCGCTGATGCGATGCTTATCCCCCTCCGCAGCCTGAGTGCACCACCCAGGCCTCCGGAGGGCGTCATAAGCGCGCCTGCCGAGCGCCACGTGCGATGCTGCCCCGCTGGAGAACCTGCCTTGCCGCGCGGGCCCCCTGCAGCTGGACGGTGCTGGGCTGCCGTCAGGGAAAGGATTCCCCTGGCGCCCCGCGCCGCCGACGCAATTCAACTTTGTCGCCGCCGCCGCCAGATCTGAATGATGAGATGGATGAGTGAGCGCCCATCTTTGGGACGAGCGCGTCCGCCTGGACGCGGCGCGAAGGGGCTCACGCTCGTCCTTCGCGACAGAATGCTGTCCGTCGTCGCGGAGCAGGCGAATCCGTCTCCAAACGGTTTCTTTCCTGGTGGGTGGTCTGGGTGACCCCATCCTTTATGTGACGGGGCGAGCCGTCTTGGCAGGCAACGCCGTCAAGGCGACGCGCTAGAGGGCGCGCGCAGCTCGACTGCGCGCTATTGCAACGACGCGAATGTCAGCTTCGCCTCGGGGCCAAGGCAACAGGAAACGTAGCCAAGCAGCAGCTTGCGGAGGGGCTTCCGACCCCACGCTAATTCGGGACCCTGTTTGGGGCCGAAAATCTTCCGAAATCCGATGGGCCGATTTCCCATGGGAAATCCGTCCAGCTGCAATCTCAGCCGCCGAATTTTTAGCAGCCGCACCAGAATTTAATTCTGAGCTCGCTGGTGAAAGGGCGCCAGCATGGATATTCCGATTACGCGCCGTTTGGGACGCAGGCCCCCCGGGGTCGGTCGAGGACGGGCGCGCTGCACAAATGCAAAGCACCCCCGCCCCCGTTGTGCGCAGGTGGGGGGTTAGCCAATGCCCCCCCCCCCCATCAAGGACTAGCTTCTGCCGCCTGCACACATCCGACCCCGAGTGCCCCAGAGTGTCCGTAGCCCCTCCTTCTGGCTCGCGCGGTCGGGACTGCGCGGCGGCCGAGTGCAGCTTTGCCAATGCGCAGCCGGCGCGCAGACCCCGGCTCTCGGCTTGGCAACGGCCAGGTCACTGCATTTCTTTGGCGCGCCGGGGCACCAGAATGCAGAAGGAGCTAAGAATGCAATTTTTGGGCGCGCGGACGCCCAGGAGCGCTAAGTCGCACTCAGGTTGCGAATCTGGGTGCGCATGGGCACCAGAAAGCAAAAGGAGGCTCACAATGCAATTTCGCGCGGACGCCGAGGAGCGCTAATTTGCGCTCAGCTTGCGAATCTGGGCACGCCTGGGCAGCAGAACGCAGAGAGGCGTTCAGAATGCCACTTTGGGCGCGCGAACGCTGAGGAGCGCTTTGCTGCGCTGAGATTGCGAATCTGGGCGCGCCTGGGCACCAGAACGCAGAAAGAACACAGAGTGCAATTTTGAGCGCGCGGGCGCCACAAGCGCACAGATTGCGAACCTGGGTGCGCCTGGGAATCAAAACGCAGAAAGGCGCTCAGGATGCAATTCTGGGCGCGCGGACCCCCAGGAGCGCTAAGTCACGCTCGGATCGCGAGCCCGGGTGCGCCTGGGCACGAGAACGCGGAAAGGAGCTCAGAATGCAATTCTGGGCGCGCGGATGCCCAGGAGCTCTCAGACCGCGCATCTTGGTGCGCCTGGCCACCAGAACGCAGAAAGGAGCTCAGAATGCAATTCTGGGCGCGCGGACGCCCAGGAGCGCTAAGTCACGCTCAGATTGCGAACTGGGGTGCGCCTGGGCACCAGAACGCAAAAAGGAGCTCAGAATGAAATGCTGGGCGCTCTCGCGGCCCCCCCGAGGCCCCCTCAAGCCCCCTGGCCACGTAGGGAGCCCACGTCTGGCTCCAAGTCAAGTTTGTCTCGGGCCCACCAGGCTGTTGCTCAGCAAGCGCCCCTTGAGGCTCGTAGGTCTAGGTTGCACGAAATGTTTGGGGATTGCTCTCAAAGCCCTGGGGCCCCGTCGTCGGTGGGGGATGTAGGTCAGGCTCCTCCCGATGAGGTCGATGAATCTCTTGAGTGCTGGCCCGGCGAAGAGGGCAATCCGTGAGCAGGCCAGCTCAATTTCTGCGATGACGGGTCGTTGAGCAACGCCCTCTCCTCCCCGTCGCACCCTGCCCTCCCCGACCCAAGCTCGAAGGTGGGCGCAAGTGCTCGCGCCCAGGAGATGCAGCTGAAATCTGGCCAGGCGCAGGAGCAGTGTAGCACCCCCTCCAATTCGAGCCAGCCCCCCCCCCAAAAAAAAAATCCAGTCAGCGCTTTACATGGTGAATCTGAACGGCAGTTCACCCATGATGCCGACCCTGGGCCCAGTCCGTTGCAGGTCCCTGGAGGTGCGTCGCCGTCGCCGCCCACGTTTGCTAGCCCACCTTTGGGTTGAGAGCCGACAGGAGATTGGATTCGCCTGGGGGCAGGGCTTCGCCCATTCCCTCCCCCCCTCGCTGCTCGGTTCCGCAGCATCCAGGCTCGAAGCCTCGCGCGCTCTCCTTGTTTCGGGTGCGCATGCCGCCTGGATCTCCACGGTCGAGCTCAGCAGCACTCGACGCCATGGAGTGGCCCCCCCTCCTGTGCGCCGCGCGCAGGGCGCACGATTCGAGGAGGGCCCAGTCAGACAGGCAGCCCACAGGCGACGAGTCAACCTACGAGACCAGCGCGCTCAGTGGCGGACCCAGGTGCACACCATTGTTGGATGGGGTCAGCAAGGGCCGTCAGAGAGACAACGGGCGGCGCCAGCTGGAACAGCACCAGATCGCGGCGAAGAAGGCAGCAGGGGACAGACCAGACGGTGCCCGCACGGTGCTGAGAGAAGGTCGCGGCCCCCCCCATGGAGCGAGCGGCTCCGCATCCTGGAGAGCCAGTGTCAGTTCCATCCAGCGGCCGTGGAGTCATTTGCCCACGCCGCATAGAAGGTCATGCAGCGTGCCCAGGGGCTTGCAGTACTGTCGGCCATCAGCGACTTCCGTGCGTCGGTGGTTGAGCCCGAGGCCAACGGCACACTGCGCAAATCGCTGAAGAAAGGACCCCCCCGTGGAGATTGTGGTGGGCCAGCAGCTGGTCTATCATCCGAGGGGCATCATGGACGCGAAGGCGAAGAAGTGCCAGCAGCTGTGGCCCCCCACGGCCCCCAAGGTGCAGGGCTTCGGAGAGTTGTTCAGAGGTATGTGAGAGAGCGATTGATGAATCGCCCCCGCAGATGGGGGCGCCCGGCGTCTCCACAGCGGCATCGCGCATGAAGGCGAAGGCTGGCATGGGCATCGACATGTCGCGCCCGTGGACTACCAGAGGCCCCCAGCCGAGGGCCAGGCGGAGTTGCTCCGCATCTTGGAGGCGGTCGAGCACGCTCTGTCGTGGCCAGCGGAGACGCTCACCGCCATAGGGAAACTCACCCCGAGGAGACGGCGGGAGATCGCGCCATCGGCCTCGTATCGATGCTCAGCCGCCTCTGGCCACTCCTGCGAGAACCCCATGTGCAGTCATGGTGGGCCGACCGCGCCCGACATTGGGACGCAGCCCTGCCAGGCAACCCATGCCTGCATGAAGATGAAGCGTAAACTCGTTTCCGGCAAGGGAAAATCATGTGGAGCAGGCCCAAGCGTGCTCGCCTCACCTCCTCTGCTCCCGCTCACACGCCTCTGTGCCTGCTTCGCGGGCAAGCGGTACCTGGCGGGCCGCTTTGCATTTTCGGAGGCGGAAGTATTATCGGTGCTAGTCTCTTGGGTCTGCCGTTCTGGTCGCCCCACAGGAGACGCGGGGAGCGGGGCCAAGCCGGGCCAAAGCACGAGCGACGGCCTGGCGCGCTGTGGCACTGCCCGCTCCCTCGCAGGCACGCCGCGTTCTCAAGCTCTGTGGTGACCGAACGCTCTCCGCGTGGGGCGGCGCCCGCAGGGCTGGCAGCAGCCGCCTGGCGGCGGTTCCCTGCCGCCTCGCGGGCAAACCCAGGGCCCCTGCCTTCTCGCGGGCATACCCAGAGTCCCTGCCTTCTCGCGGGCAAACTCAGGCCACCGTGTTTCTCATTCTCTGGTTGCCTTCGCGGGCAAGTTCAGGGTCCCTGCCTTCTCGCGGGCAAACCCAGGGTCGCTGCCTTCTCGCGGGCATGTCCAGAGTCCCTGCCTTCTCGCGGGCAAACTCAGGCCGCACTTCTCCCGGGCTCTGCCGGGTTCCGTGTGGCATGCTGCGTGCAGGGTTACTGCGCTGCCTTCTCGCGGGCAAACCTAGTGGGGTCTTGCCTTCTCGCGGGCGCACCCAAAAGTCCCTGCCTTCTCGCGAGAAGCTGTATTACTTTGGGGTCGCTGCCTTCTCGCGGGCTTTACCTCGTGCGACGGCGTGGAGGTTCCCTGCCTTCTCGCGCGCGGCAAACCCAGGCCTGTCGAGATACGCTCTCCGGCCCTTTTCTCCAGAGGATCGGGCGTCCCGGGGCGCAGGCTCCTCGTTGGGTTTCCAGTGGGTGCGGCCCTCAGTGCATTTCTGGTGCCGCTGATCGCACCCCGCCGTGAGGGCCACTCTCTCGCTGGTCCTTGCCGCCTGTGGTGAAACGTGGAGTGCGTCGT